AGAGCTGTAAGGAGGTGGAGGACGAGGGAGAGGCTCAGCACAGAGGGTCCGAGTGCTCAGCCAAGGGGGCTGGAGCGTCAGTGGTGGCTTGACTCTGCGAGCTGCCCTGTCTCCGTGCTGACAGCATCTTGGGACTGGACCCCGCCTGGACCACTCTGCATTGCACTCAGAGTGGCCCAGGCAGCATCCAGTTCACAGTATCTACAGAAAGGCTGAATCACGTGATCGCTGTGCCTGCACATGGAAGGGAGGTGGAGATAGCTGAGGGCCCTTGGTTGGGTATTTTTTGAAACTGCTCCTGAGTTACGTGGCGGCAGTTTTGACGGGGACATTGGGAAAACTGGAAACTGGTGGTTCTGCAGAGCTGCTTTGGGTCAAATAGGTGGGGTGAGCAGCTGTGTTGAGGAGGGGTTTCTACAGCTGCTCCTCCAGGCCGCTTCGCCTGGACTGTCCCTGTGTGCGCGGATCACACGCGCTGCAGAGGAAGGGAGCTCCGGGAATGGTTCCGCGGACGGCCCCGACCCAGGAGCTCGGCCCTCAGACTATTTTTTTAAGTATTTTGTTTTGTTTATTTTTTACTTTGTTTTCATTTTGGGAGGAGATAATTAGGTTTATGTATTTACTTATTTATTTTTATTTAGTTTTTTCCTTTTTCGGTTTTATTGGTAGAATTGTTACAGTTTGACTGCACAAATACATGATATTACGCGTAAATACGTATATACAATATACTGCACATTTTTTTTAGTTCACATATGTGTACTGATCAGTTTCTGAGAACTTACGTATTTATTTACTTATTTATTTAATGGTGGTATTGGGGATTGAACCCAGGACCTCGTGCATGCTAAGCATGCTGTTTACCACTGAGCTACACCTTCCCCCCCGGCCAAGACCCCAAATTCTTAAGCAGACCTGGAGGGCTGGCACTTTTGCTAAGGTCCAAATGCTAGTGAGGGCCTGGCCCGGAGCCGGAGTTAGACTTTAAAAGCTGTGTGCTATTTTGTTGCTGCTGCGTTCGTAACTTTGGGAAGGTTTCAAAGCCAAAGTTGTGTTGGTGGTGGTTAATTTCAGAGAAACATGGGGATGGGCTGTGAAAATCGTAGGTTGAGGTCTGATACTGGACCTTAGAGAAAAATGCTGAGAGTTTTTATCTAAATTGCTGGTTACCTAGCTGATTCCAGAAGGGGTGAATCGTTGCACCGAGGCGAAGAGACAGGCAGTGCCCTTGTTGTGGGCGGAGAGTTAAGTCTGCAGAGCCTCCCAGCCTGGAATGAGTGCGCCTGGCCCAGCCGCCTCTTCTCCTGTTAAAGTTTAGATGTGAGGTCGTCAGAGCCACAGTTCTCCTGTGGCCTCCTTTTCCCTTGGAGGCCGGGGACCTCCTGGAGCCTCATTTCCCTCTTCCTTGTCCCTGTGACCTCAGCCTCCCGGTCCTGGGCTAGAGAGAGAGCCTTTGAATAGCACTCATTCCAAGAAGGTGTTTGTGTGGTGCCTAAAGCCCCCTCACTGCTGCGTGTGCTGTACTGCTGCTAGGGCCGTCTGCAAAGTGAGGGAAGCCGGGGAGTCTGGTTTTCAGTCAGCTGTCTCACGGTCCCGCAGCCGCAGCTCTGTGCTTCTGCCTGCTCGACGCAGTCGCCTCGAAGGAAGAGCCGTGTGCACGGAACTGCACGCTCACAGGTCGCTTTTCCTTCCCGCCGTCTGAGATTGTTGTGGCTCTGACAGTTTCCTTACAGGAAAGCCTGCAGAGCTGTTACAGAGTAAAGAAGTCAAGTGATCGTTACCAGTTTGGCAGCAGGAGCTTTTAAAAAATCAAGTCATTTTCTCCACTGTCTGTAAATAATCCATACCTATCGCTGAAAAATGGAAAGTAGAGAATAATAAAGGGAACGCATTCCGAGGCTCGCTACTCAGCGATGTTCTGTTTCTTTCTAGTTCTCTTTTCTATGTTTGGTGTTTAGAAAGCACACTTGTCCTCGAAGTGCGTTCACCCCTTTGCATCCTGTTCTTTTTATTTAGCTTTGTGACATAAGGAGTTTTCTATGTTTCCTGGATTTCCTGAAGACGTAACACTCCTGCGTTCGCTCTTCCCTTTCCCGGGTGCCTCTTCTCCGCTGGGTGCTGACCGCTCTGTCTTCAGAGCACGGGGAGACAGACAGGAGAGGAAATGGTCTGCGCCGTCGTCAGGAGCCGCACAGCATCCTGAATTGTCACTTTTATCTCAATCTGAAAGCTAAATTGTCTCCCAGGTGGTTCCTCATTTTAAGTCACAGCAGAAATATTGGTTGATTTTGTTGTACGTTTAATCTGACTTTGTACGGGTCAGAAAATCCCTCTGCGTAGGTGTCAGACCGTCGGCTGGAAGTCAGAACCCAAGGTGAGAGGGCGGTAAACTCTGAGCACCTCTCTGCCAAGGACATGGAGGCTGGAAGGTGTGCAGACTGAAGTTGGGGAGAAATAGTGACATTAGAGAAATGGACAGCATCGATCCCTAAGACAAGATACAGGTCACGTCCTGACACATACACCACCAGGACAGGCCCAGCTCCTTCTCCTCTTCCGTCCTTGGATGTCAGTTAAAGGCTGAGTCAGGGGTCTAGAGTTCCCTGTGCCGTCCAGCCTGGTTTGTGCTCAAGGGAATCCTTTCCTACTGCAGTGTGAGTCTTATTTCATCCCCATGTCCCTTGTAACCCGTCATCATTTTTGTCTTTTTTCTGGTCATTTAAAAAATGTTTGCATTATCTGGATAGGGTATAAAACTTGCATTTTTATAACAACGTTTGAAGCCTTTGGAAAATGTGAAATATGGGACTGATTGAACGGCTCTGTGGCTAACTTCTAGGTAAGTGTCCAAAGAATGCATACTTAGAAAGAGTTTACGTCCCAGATGAATATCTTTTAGAGACTGAAGTTTTGAAAGCAAAATTCATTTACTTTATACATAAAAAGTGGGATGTACTTGTTCCCCCAGTGATTCCCCTACATATTTTATAAAATCTGGTTTTGGGGGCATTTTTCAAGCCCTCACCTTCTGGGCACTGCACTGTGCGGTCACTGCGGCGGTGACTGAACACAGGGGAAGCCCGGGAGTAGGCGTTGACCCAGAGGGGAGGGGGCAGTACCTGCATTCACGCTCTTCTGGCCCTCTTGCAATGAAGGGAAAGTGATTGAAGGAAGCAGCCAGGGTCTCAGCAGGGCCATGCACTCAGGCCTTAAGCTCAACATGTGTTTGCTCCCCTTCCTGGAGACGTGCACTCGTTTTCCCTGGTCTGGTCTTGTCTCGGCATCAGCTCAGCTCGTGCCGCAGAGAAGTTGGCGGTCATCACAGTGCATTACAGGCTTTCCCTCTCAGAGCAGGGTGATTTGAGACCTTCTGTGGGTTGGTTATAGAGGAACTTTAGGGTCACACATGTAGTGAAGTCTGGGCAACTGAGGCCCCTGCTACACCGTTTGATTTACTCACACTTGCGGAGTGAGGTGCCTGTGGCTGCCCTAGTGTAAAGATGAAAATCTCCCAAAACTTGTCAATGAAAAAAATGAGTCAGTAGTGTAAGAAAGAAATGGAAATTTTTCTTCAAGCCACCCTGAGGATTATAACCAGGAGACCAGCTTTCAGGAAGCTTTGAGGACTGTTCTGCCCATTAGAGGTCAAAGCACAGTTATATATATTTTTGGGCCAGAGGGTTAACATCACATGATGTACTGGCAGTTTACAGAATCCAGATCTGCACGTACAAAGTGAGTAGAGGGTCGTCCGGACCCTTACAAGACTCAGAAGGATGGTGGTCTCCGAAGGAGGCCAGGTGCGCGCAGCCGCACAGCACACGCTAAAGGTGGTGAGGCGGGGGGCCCAGACGGGCAAAGAAACATTTTATGTTTATATTTTTCTTGTCTTGCCAAGAATTAGGAATTTTATTTTGTTAAACTAAAGACCCAGTCAAGGGTCCATCTGATGTTAGGGATCTGCTAATGTTTTCTTCAGCCAGATTCCAGGACGACAGATGGAGGAGGAGTCAGGCCAGCCTCTTGGAGTTTTCTGTATCCAGACGTGACCTGTGTGTCAGGGACCTATGCTTTTTAAGCTCTTCTGAAAGAAAAATTATTTTTTCCATGAATTTACAGTGGTGTGGAAAAATCATACTGACATGTATGATGTATCAATATACATCATAGAACATATATAAAATATAAATGTATAAAATATATGGAGTATGTACAAATACAAAATATGTATCATAAAAAGCATCCTGGCGTGTGTGACATATCAGTGTCTCCCTCATATAGCGCTGAGATATGACACTATAGTGTTATTCTCAATTTTGCATTTGAAGTGTGCTCGTGTCAGAAGTCACCCGCTTGAACTGCTTTTGTTCTTGGTGGCTTGGGGCTCGCTCAGCTTGGATATGGTTAGGAATTAAGAATACGGCGCAAGAGTTCTGAGGACCTATGGCTTCTCGTTTACTACTCTGTTTCTTGCGGATGCACATTACATGATGTATCCCTGCCCGCCCTGCAGGTGTCCCCAGTGTGGGAAGCCCTGCCTGGCTCTGTCGTGGGAACCCTGCCTCCCTCTCCCCTGCTGGGGGTGGAATCTTGCAAGGTTGCAGAGTAAGTCCTGTCAGCTGACACTGGCTCACATGAGAGCCCTTCGGAGGGTGGTGGCCAATGTCACAGCAACCTTGCAGCTGAAGACGAGTCACGCCTTGTGCCCGGAGCCTTGCGGGCCACATGAACAGGTCTTGTGATCCATCAGTCGAGCACTGCTCAGTCCCCAGCCGTGCCTCGGATGGAGCGCGTCAGTCCCAGTGGCTCCGCCTTTGGCTGACCGGTGGAGCACAAACCCAGGAGCAGAAGTAGGACTCGGACTTGTCCGTGAAGAATGGGTTTGCTGAGCCACGTTTCATAACATGATGGGTGCATCGGACTTCCTGAATCATGGGCGGGCTTCATTTACGTAACAAATGAATGTTCCTTTTTTTTTTTAACTTTTGAAAGAGGAAATCAGTAGGCTGCCACTGAGAAGCCTGTCTCACCTACGGCATCTGTGCAGGGAGCGCGGGGTCCTTCCCTGCGGGAACTCCTCCAAGCACGGGGTCTCCCACACTTGTTCCAAGGCCAGCTGAGGATCAGGAGATGTGCGGCGGCCCCTCGAAGGCCGCGGAGCAGCCCGGGAGCCGGAGGGACCCAGCTGGCTCCGTGAGCGATGCCGCTTCTGGCGCTTGGAGGACCCAGAAGACGCTTTTATGCGCAAAGCTTTGCAAACAAGCCAGGATAGGAAGGGGCCCCGACCCCACGGAACCCAACCACAGGTTTGAAACTTCAGTTCTGTTTCAGGATCTCAGAGAAACTCTGATGTAGTTTGCCACGTGGTAAGGAGAGAAAAGTGTGCTGATCTGAGACTCGTGTTTCCAGACTGCCCCTAGGCAGGCGGCTCAGGTGGGGTAGGGCACGGGCAGACAAGTCCTCTCCTTCCTCAGGGAGCTGGGGGCACGAGCATTTTTCTGTGGCTGTTTGGATTCAGCCACCACGTGCTTCCCTCTTCACTTCCCACGGCCCCATGGGAGCCACCGTGAGCAGCGTTGCGTCCTGTCCCTAGGAGGCTTGAACACTGCTACCTACAGTGGTCATCGGGGAAGGGGGTGCGGCCCCGAGGGCAGTGCCGTGACAGATGGGGCGCATGGCGGGCATGCTGGCTTCTCAGCCTGACAGGTGGGTGGAGGGCCGGGCGTCCTGGCTGGCGGTGGGGAGGGGAGGGGAGGGAGCGCCCAGTCTTGTCTTCTGGAGACTCCTTTCCTGGGCAGGATGCTGTCAGGATGAACTGGCCAGTAACGCAGCTCATCAAAGGAATACCGTCATCCTCGCTGTCTTCTCTTAGGTTGATTATTTCATCCACTTGGGAAGAATTCATTAATTTTACTATCAGTAGCTCTCAACTGAAGTGTTATTTGTAAAGAGTGTTAGTGCATATCAATGAGACAGGAAAACCCTTTGAGAACTGCATTTTATTTCAGAATGTTATGTGGATAGATAGCAAGGAGAGCCAAAGGGTGAGCTCCCGTCTCGTGGCTGGTGTGAAAGTCAGTTTCTCCATCGGCTTAAATGTTGTTACCTTTTTCCTTGTAGAAGTCTTCTAAAAGTTAACATGACTCATAAACTGTTTTTTTTCCTTTTCTTTTTATAAATTGAAGTATAGTTGATTTACGACATTGTGTTAATTTCTGGCGTGCAGCATAGTGGTTCAGTTATACATATATATTCCTTTTTGTGTTCTTTTCCATTGTAGGGTATCACAAGGCAGTGAAGTTGCCTGTGCTGTACGGTAGGACCTTGCAGTTTATGACTCCCAAACTGTTCATCCCATCAATAAATTTCTTGGTTAACAGATAATCAGGACATGATTTCTGTCGTGTAAAAATCATTGGATTTCTTCAGTGGAAACTTGATAAAATGGTACACAGTTCCCTGTGGTGTAGGTGCCCATAGATCGGATAGAGAGCTGGGGGGAAGTGTGGCGATCACACACATGCTGTGTTACAGAGATGGGTTTGTGGAGGAAACGGTGGTGAATGACGGTACAACAGTACATGTGAGCGCTCAGATATGAGGTCCACTTTTATACTGTCTGTTTCTTACCAAGAAAGGATGCTGAGTGACAGGAGAGGGGGCAGCCTTGGCACTCAGCCTCCTTGGGTCTTGATCCGGATCTGGTCCTGACCCCCAGCTCTGCTGCCCAAAACCTTATAACCGGAGTGGGGGCATCTCCTGCCATTTGGGGTCTCACCCTCAGCTGTTAAGCTGTGTGGTTGGTTCAGATTGCTTTTAAATAAAGTTCTTCCCTCTCTGACTCTTCCATGTAGCATCGGGGCCTTCTGCATTTCCTATTCTTGTCACTCCACAACTCTAGATTCCCCAGGGAAGTGTTCGGGGGGCTGGGGACCCCAGGAGAAGATACTGTGCGGCCACAGCAATTTTCACAAGACTTCTAAGGTTTTTGGTGTAATCCTCTGCTTCTCACTTTTCAGTGAATTTGCCAGGATTCTCATCGGTTCCATTTTAACAACACTTTAAACTCAACGAAACATTTTCACATCCATTCTCTCCTTTCCTTATTTTAACTCCCTTTAGATTTACTTTTCAGATCCTGAGCTTTCTTTTTCAATTCTGTCCGATGCTGACGAGTGTCATTTCATTGGAATTCATCTCTATTCAGGCCACTGTCTGGGTCGCTCTTCCACTTTCTCTTCCCCGTCCGACGATCTTGAAGAGGCGTTAGTTACAGGCAGGGCTGTGCTTTGGTTTCCTGAGCTTCTTCAGAACTCAGGTGGGTCTCGGGGGTGAGTGAGTCACTGACGGGAGCTTGCACTGCCAGGACCTGCCTCCGCAGTGCTCCCCAGCGATGTGTGTGTCCCGGGCGGGGGCCGTCGGGCAGGTGCCTTCCAGCGCCTGCTTTGCTCTCGGGGATGTCAGTGCAGTAGTTTTAGGTGGCTGTCTCAGCTGAGCACACTGGTAGGTGGTTTTCTCTTTTTCTTTTTTTTTTCTCTCCTGCTCGATTTTTCAGTTGTTTGAAGGATGAAGAGGAAGATTCCGCAGATACAGTGGAATCGTTACAGATCCCTAGCAGTAGCGCAGGGTAGAAGGGACAGAATGCAGGACAGAGAGAGTCACATTCCTCTCCCCACCAAGGCTCACGCGGAGTGAAGCGTTTCAGGGTAGAAGTTTGTCCTTTGTATCTTCACGTCTGCTCTCCTTAACCTCTAGAGTGACAGACATGGGGCTTCAGTTTATTTCACAACATCCCAGAAACAGCAGAAACTGGTAGTGTTTGATGAGGTGTCTGAAATGGTTTGTCAATTAAAAATTCCTTGCTGAAACTCAATTCAGATCTAATAACTGAACTGTGACGCTGGGCATGTAGTGAAGTCTTCAAATGGAACTGCTTCCCAGTCTTTTTTCTTAAAATATCAACCACTGCAAAGCTGCAGATAACTTGATTTTTTAAAACTTTCCCAGCCAGTGAGATCCATCCCTAGGGCTGCTGGCTTGTGGAATCTGGGAGCGTTTGCCAAGCATGTCTGTGAGTCACTGTTTCTCTGTTGACGAGAGGACGTTTGACATAACCTCACCTTAAAAAGTGTTGTGCCTCCACTCGCCCAAGAGGAACCGAAACAGCACTTCAGGGTTGATTGTGCGTGAAGTTTCGTATATGTTGAAATTTGGGTCCTGAGGGGATGCGTTACTGCTTTAGACTCACTGGGGGATGGAGGGAGCAGGAGAAGTAATGGATGGAGAACTCTGATTTATCCACACTTTGGATGAACTAATTTTATTAAAAAAGAAAGAGCCCTGGCTTGTTTGCGCAAGTTGCTTAACAAGAAAACAAGTACAGAAACCAGGGTGTGTTTTCCGCTAGTGACCTGCTTCACGGAGATGAGCCGACAGCGGTTTTACCACCTGGCTTTGCTGAGAGGGGTTAGGATTACCGAAGATTCGGGTGCAAGACTGTTAAAGGGAAGTCTGCTGCAGGCTGCAGGGGCGGGGACGGTGTCCCCAGGGTGTTCCTCGTTGCCACTTGGGAAACATGGCTGCTGGCCGGGGCGAGGGGCCTGTACAGGGAACCCCAGCCCTGGGCGGCTGGTGGTCTTGTGCTGGTGACGAGCTCCACGGGGAGACTGTGGGCTGCGGGGTGTGACTCCCCCAGTTGCACCGGGCATCGCTGTCACCACACGCTGCCCCTCCTGCGTTCCTTCCCGTTTCACTGACCCGACGTACCATGAGGAATGTTCTGTGAGTCGTTGGGAGAGTTTGTTCCCACTGGCTGTTGGTCGGATTCCGGGATGTAACGTGAGAATGAGTGACTGGAGGACCGGACGCAGGGGTAACTCGGTATTGCGGCAAAGTCCAGTGGGCTTCAGGGCGAAAGAACATGGGTCTGTTCCACGAGGCCGCGTCTCTCGGGAGTGAGTCAGAGCAGGCTCAGCTCCCAGGCTGGGCAGCGGGCTGGGCCCGCTTCATCGAAGCTGACAACCCGTGTGAACTCCTGCCTGGGTATTATTTTGACAAGTGTTGATGACCGGCAGGGTAAAGCTCTTGTTATTAGTCACCATAACCAATTGGGTCCAGAATGACAGCGTTCCAGACAGCAGGCAAGGGTACTCCACTGCCCAAGAAGAAAACAAACAAACAAACAAAAAAACAAAACAAAACCTTGGTAGAGCTAAGCTAGTTTTTTTTTCTACTTAGTAATTCTTTAAAAAAATTCAGCCCTAACCCCAGGTGAGAATGTGGACTGCGGAACCAGATTTAGGGGACCCTCCTCTGATCTGGGGTCGGCTCTGCCTTGATCTCCTGATCGAGGGTTTGTCTCAACCTCACTGCATCTTCTATTTTCCCTTCTAGAAAAAAAATTAAAGTGGTGGGCTGGGTGAGTCATCCCCAAAAATGTAGGTTCCTCACTTCAGATCCATTGGACCAAATTCCTGGAAGTGGAGCCCCGTGAAGCTTTGCTCATTAAAAACAAACAGATGCAGAGAGCTTCTAGGGTCTTTCTAATGATGAGTCAAGTCTGGGAGCCACCCACCGGCGGGGCGGGCGGTTTCTGAGCCCCATCCAGCTCTAGCATTCTGATGTCCGCCAGTACTGACGAGACTCAGAGGGGCTGGAGAGATGTGAAGACCTTGGTAACCGACAGGGTCCAAACTATGTCAGTGGTCATTTTTTCCCACCTCGGGGAACACACCACGTGGATGTTTGAGGAAAAGTCTTCTCGAGAGAGGGAACAGCAAGTTCGGAGATTTTAAGGCAAAAGCATGCATGATGTGCATGCTGAAAAGTGATGCCCATGATGCAGGGAGGGAGTGGTCCTTCGTGGGAGGGGGAATGGGCTGGGTGTGCTGGTGCTCAGGACCAGCAGCTGCTCACTGGGACCTGACAGGACTGAGGGGAGGGGGTCTGCAAAACTTTGGAGCCAGGACAGAGACGTTTGGTGGCTGCAACCAACACTCAAGTCACGTGTCCTTGGTTTCGTCGCCACAGGGACTTCTCTAGCAGTTTACAGTAGTAGACCAAAATGATCTTCCCAGAATATTGCCATGACAGACTTTAAAACAGTGCTCATTACTCAAAGTTTCTGTATTTTGTTTTGTTTTTGTTTGGCGGGGGGGGGGTTATTATTTATTTAATGGAGGTACTGAGGATCAAACCCAGGACCTCGTGCTTGCTAAGCACGTGCTCTACCACTGAGCTATACCTTCCCCTTCAAAGTTCCTGTATTTTAAAAGTTCCCTTGGCCATTTAATTTTTTTACAAAACA